TTACTTGGAAAAAATATGTATAAAAAGTTTAATTCTGGTATGTTTTTTATTACACTTAGATGTATTGTCCCCAAACTACATCTCAAAACTAGGTGTACTTTCACCCAAACTACACCTGATACTTGAACTTTTCATCTGTATTTAATAATATGACAATCATTTCCAGCTCTAGAAAACCCACATGTATTTTATGTGTATGTGTACATACAAACACACACACACCCCAATTATGAAATCAACTGGCCGAGGTCTATTACAATTTATGCAATTTTGTTACTTATGTATGATTCTCAAAAGAAACACAAATGCTGAAGTTTTTCTTTTTTTTTACCCTATGAAGCATCAATCCCTACTTTCTCCTTTACAAAACAGTTCTATCTTCCTAAGTTGCAATTTTCAAAATAAAATTTGTAGCCAGCATCATCCTATTCAACCAATATACTGCTGAGTATTTTAGTTTTAGTACTTTTATTAAAAAGTACTAACTTTTTAATACTTTCAAAACTTGTAAGTAGTTACAAGGAAAGCAACAACTTCACAGTATGCTTTATATACCTATGCTTTTAATAATCAAATATAAATAATAAGCCATTTTCGCCTGATAAAAGTCTACTGGTCGGTTACTTGCAAGTGGTACCGAAACAATCTGTTCAACATTGTGAAGTTCTTATTTTAATATAAATAGTATTAAAACTCTTCCTGCACTCTGGCATAAGGAGAAAAAGGTAAGATAAACGTAAGCAAAGCAAAGCAAATTCACAGCAGGCATGTCTAAAATCTATGACTTCCAAGGTTGGAAGGGCCAGGGATGATTAACAGATTTTCAGCCCAATCTCCTACATTTTCTATACAGGGACTATAAGAACCAAAATCAAAGAGGTTAGTTTCAATATATAGCAGCTCCTGATAAGCTAGTCTCAGGAAATTTTTCAACAAAGGCCAAGATAAAGAAGGAATTTCTGCTTAAAGTTCAGCTAAACAGAATACCCATTCCCCACACTCTAGTTAATTGAGTCTTTTACTATACTTTAATGAAGTATATAGTTTACCTACTATAAATTCCAGTCTTCAAGCCCAACTGTCTCACTTTTTTTTTTTTTTTTTGGTAGAGACGGGGTCTCATTATGTTGCCCAGGCTGGTCTTGAACTCCTGGCCTCAAGTGATCCTCCTGCCTCAGCCTCCCAAAGTTTTGGGATTATAGGCGTGAGCCACCTTGCCTGGCCTCACCTTATTTTTTGAGTGTTAAAACCAAGAAACCTTTGAAACTGTAGAATACATGCTTTCTAAGAGCTCACAGCAAGTTTTCCTTTAAGGGAAAATAGCTGTTACCACTTAGGACTTCATTCAACACTGTATCTCATTTGCCAAATCAAACAAAAGCCCCTCGACAATCTTTATTTCAAACATTCCCTCAAATAAGCTGCCTTCAAATTATATGCTCATTTTCAGAACTTAAATAACTGCATATAAAACACCAAATAAAGATCAAAACTATACCTGTCTACAAATACTATACAGTATTTAAAAATTAAAATAATTCCATTTAAATATGTGATTTTTCACAATGATTAAGAAATTGTAGAAGCAATGTCTCTAGTCAAATACTTGTACCAAAGGCCCTCCTTTTCACTCACCAAAATGTTACTTGGTAGCAATTCTCCAATGAAAAATTCTCCTGTTAAGCACCAAGTGGTTAACTAGGTATCAAAGAATACACCCATTCCATTCCCCATAAACTTATCTTGGTGTATTTATGTAACATACTTGTAACAAAGTCTTAAAGGTACCCACAAACATCAACCACTGTCAATCTTTGGTAGTAAGAACAGGTTCATGGAAAAGCAGGTTTTCATCAGACATTTAAGGCTTTTAGAAGCTTAGCAACTCTAGAGATTGGGTTATCAAAATAACAGTAACTGAATACTTTATACACAAGGGTGTAGAATGCAAATGATTACAATATTAGCATCTGTAAAAATTTCTTTAAAAAGCTGTAAATCATTTCTTATGTTAATAAGTGTTCAGAACACACTACTGCAACCAGCTCTAACCGGTTCCTTGAGGAATGTGGCTAGGCTGAAATTTTGGAAGTGTTGGTTTTGGTGGTGACCAAGGAGGAGGAAGTCTCTGGCTTCCCTGTTGCTGCAGTTCCCACCCTCCAAAATGAATATACCCACCGGTGTGAATTGACAATGTGGTCCAAAGAGCAAGGCAGGAAACGGAGTCCAGATCCTCAAAATGGTAGTACAGGGCATAACCACTAGGCCACCTATCAGTTCAGTACAAAAAGTACAACCCTGCGCATCATGGTGTAAAAGCTGGGGCCTAGGTTTCGCATTGTGCATCTCACACCTATGGAAATAACAAGAGGAGTAAAATCTATAGAAATCAACACACCCTAAGAAGGTGGGTGCTCACAGAAGACTGGTATCAACATTTTTGTAAGGTTGGCTGCTGGGATAATGAATAGCAATTACAAGTCCAAATTTGGAGGGAAACGAAATTTTTACAATCAACACTTGAGTTCGACAATGAAGAACCCAACATGGGCTTGATATTTACCAACAAGGCTTTGCAAATCATGACACCCACCTACACACTTATAACTATTACTACCCCACAAAAATCCAACATCTCTCAAGAATGATTTTTAATTCTCAAAGAATTGGAAAGATTTGGCCTATGAAGAAGGGAGTTAACCAGCAATGCCCCCAAACCTGTTACTTTCAGGTTTCAAACCTCCTTTACCACCAGACTTAGGAAAGATATGGTGACACATTCAAAACTTGAGGTGGAAGAATTCCAGAGGAAGGGAATCCGAACCAAGGATGTGCCAAGGTGATTCGTCAAGAACAAATATGGACTAGGGGCCAACAGTTTTGAAAAAGTAAAAGGAGAAAACTTCTGAAATGCAGGGTGGGCTCTTTAAAAGAAGTAAAATCACTGCTCTTGACTCACTTAATCCTTCGCCATGTTGCTGTCAGCTCACCAACTAAGAGTGCGAGTGTGTCTTGCTGGGCCCATTTTCCCATGGTCTGTAGAAGGCGCTGTGAAGCACATCCTGTTCTAGCTCGGGGGCCCTTCCCCCCTCTGCAGCCTTACCCAGTGCAGAGAATGCGCCCCCTACTGACTCCAACACTCATCGCCTTTAGCCGACTTGGCTGCGGTGCATTTTGGGTGGGGGCTGGTATTTTCTCCATGGCCATAAACCAGAAGCAACAATGCAGATTTCTAAAGAAACTGTATCAAGCTATCCAAGAGATTTTTTTTTTTTTTCATTCTGAAGGTTCAAGATACAGGCACAAGAAGCATCAGGGATGGGAACTGGGTGTGTGGGGATGCACATCATTAACATGGCAAACACTTAAACAGTTTGGTTCTTTTTCCCTCCTAAGCCTTTGTCTGTGAAATGGGGTTATGGCAAGAAGTGTCCAGAGGAATTGGTAAATGCAAGAAGATTAAGAAGACTCGTGGGTGTGTGGGGGGTGTGTGTGGCTAAAAAGGATATCAGACCTACAGTCTTGGTCTTGGGCAGAAGAGGAAGAGAAGCAATCGCGCCTTTTCCAGCAGACAGGGATCAAGGTTGGGGGGGAGGGGAAGGCAGGCAGGCCGCCCAGAGGAAAGAAGAGGTGAATACGAGGGTGTTCACAAAAACTACTCCCCATTCATTACATTAAAAGAAGATCTTTTTGCAGCTCTCTGGATTTCCATTTTCTACCATCTTACTGCAAAGTTGGGGCTCAGAATGTTCGAAAGAGGTGCTGACCAGGCAGCTGAGACTGGGGAAAAGGGATGGTGGTGAACTGTGGTCAGGATAGGAGGGAAGCTGGCAGGTTGGGGAGGAAGGATTGCACAGGGGAGGCAAAGACTTTCACTCCATGCCATGCATGCTCCCCGCCCCCC